TGTTTCTCGGTTTCCTTGGATTCTCATGTAGTTCTTCTATGTATTTAGGTCAAAATCCGTGTAGGGAGCACTTCCGTGATTGAATTCGAGTGTGGGTCTTCAATCCAAGGTAAGGGAGGACTTTACCCTATCTCTTTGGGTTCGATTGTCATGTATTTTGATGAATATTGCAATGTGGTTGAGATACAAGGTAGGAAATATGTATTTGATGGAATTTGCTATGTGTTGTGAGGTGTGATAGCATATGGAAATCCCGTGATGGCTGATTGTGTGGTGTGAGTACACCAATACTTGATGAATGAGGAATGTAAATGTGAACTATGTTGAAATTATTATGTGAGTAAATAAGGGCAATGTGTGTGCCGTGCAATGTGAATAAGTGTAGGTTGAGAGCCTTGTACAATGGTGAATATTGTGTGTGTAGTTGAAATGAATTATGTTGTAAATACATGTGGGCACTTGTGCTGTGTATTGAAAATAATTATTGCAAACAAATGTGGGCCTAAGAGCCGTGTAAAATAAATGATTGTGGGCTTTGTGTTGTGAATTGTGATTAAATGCTTAAATGTGTGTGGATAGGGCATGTTAACGTTGTTATATTGTGCTGTGAATGGTTCAGCGATACACTAGGGGTGTGGAAGATTGGGACGGTAAAAATACCTTGGGGAAGAGAGAGTGGTGGTGACACCAACAGTGAGTGTGGGTGCACCACGGGCCACACACTCTCTCCTTGACTAGACCTTTGCTGAGCGATTCATGACTGCCCACGTGGTATCTGTGGGGCAAGGGTAACCGGTGACCATTCATAGTAAAAATCTGTGATCACAGTGCCACAGTGAGCTTGGTGCAGTGAGTGCACGGGATATTTTTTAGATAATTACGTGTGTGTAAACTATTTGGTGCTGTGAGTGCATTGGAGTTTAATAAAAAGTGAATTGAGTGGTAATGCTGCCTATGAATATATTTATATGAATTGTATTAGAAATGATGTAAAATATGCGTAAGGTGAGACTCTGTGTATTTGTTTGTGTAATGAGTAGTGTAGAGTATTCACCCTTATATTCATTTTTCAGGTAATCCAGACGATCAGTACCGGTCTCAGTGAAGGGGTGGATAGAACTACTATAGGACTTATGATATCATTTTGAAATTAATGTATTTGAATTAATCTTATAGCAGTGATTTGTTATGAATTTTGTAACCCCTTTCCTTAAATTTGAAACATTTTAATGAGGATTTTATTTGAATGAAAAATTTTATTCTCCCTATTTTTGTGAAATTCATTATTTTGGAAAGTAAAAATTAAGGTGTGTTACATATATTATTTTGGAGCTTCATCATTTTTCCTCTTCCTTAACTTTTTAGGTCATCTCATAAATACAGGACTTAATTAATACATCAAATTTTCATAATAAATTCCAAAGTCTTATAGTAGTTTCATCCATCCCTTCATTGAGCCCAGTACTGATCGTGTTAGTCACCTTAAAAATAAATGTAAAGGTGAGTACTCTACACTATCACACACAAGCATAGAGACTCACCTTACACATTCCACAAATTTACTGCCACAACTCAGTCATGCATCAAACAAGCACAAGTGTGCTCACTGCACCATCAATCATTTCATATGCACACGTGTGCTCACTGCACATTAGCCACACTTACTGTGATACTGTGATCACAGATTCCTGATGCCCTCAATATCAGGGACTTACTCAGTTTCACACCATGAATGGTCACCAAATAGTCTCCACCTCACAGATATAATGTGTGCGGTCATGAGCCCTTTGGCAAAGGTGTAGTCAGAGGCCAAGTCAGGAGAAAAACGCGTGGCCTATGATGCACTCACGCTCACTATCGGTGTCACTACCACCCTCTCTTCCCCAAGGTATTTCTACTGCCCCCATCTTCTATACCCCCAGTGTATCACTGAACCATTCATAGTTTTCCTCTTATTCAAACACAATCACAATCAACCTCAGCATGTCATTTCCACACACACTCAACCATTTCACATCATGCAACATCATCAGACGATTCAGCATTGTAGTTTCTACAAAATCTCACTACAGCGAGAATGCGACAGTTTCACTCCTTTTCTCCTAATGCCTTCTCGCTACAACAAAAAGGCAAAGTTTCATGCTTTTCACCTAGGGCCTTCTCATTACAGCGAAAACACCCTGCAACACATACTTAGCCTATTTTCAATCTAGCCCAGTCATATCCAATCTTAATGCACAATCAACATCCACATTTATCACATGTATACACATATATCTACATTATTATATATTTATTTAAACACACAAACACATGGCAATCCACATATACACTTATAATAATATATCAAAATATTATTACAAAATTTGGGGCGTTACAACTCTCCCCTCATTCTACTCTCCACTTTTCATGTGGCATCTCCCTCATCACTTGGGCTCCATATTACCTTTACCAATGAGATCTCCTTACCCCTCAACTGCTTAACACAGTGATCCACAATCCTCACCGGGTACACATCATAGGACAAGTCTTCTCTTACTTGAATTGAGTCAAGGTTGATCACGTGAGACGAATCTGGTACATACTTCTTGAGTTGTGACACATGGAACACCAGATGTAGGTTCAAGAGATTCACAGGTAACGCTATCTGGTATGCTGCTGGACCGATTCTACTCAGCACTTCAAATGGCCCAATGAACTTAAAAGATAGCTTCCGAGATTTCAAAGCTCTCCCAGCTTCAGTCACAGGTGAGACCTTCAAAAACACATGGTCAACCACTTGGAATTCCAAAGGCTTCCTCCTCATATCGTAGTAGCTCTTCTGTCGATCTTGTGTAGCCTTCATCTTCTCTCTGATCATTTTGATCTGTTCATTCTTCTTTCAGATCATACTTGGTGCACACAGAGTCGTCTCTCTAGTTTCATACCAACGCAATGGAGTTTTGCAACTCTGCCCATACAAGGCCTTAAACGGTGTCATTCCAATACTGGCGTGATAACTATTATTGTAAGTAAACTCCACCAACGACAAACATTCCTCCCAAGTCCCTTGCTGCTCAATCACATAGGCTCTCAACAAGTCTTCTAGGGACTGAATGGTTTTCTCCGTGTGACCATTGATTTGTGGGTGATAAGCCAAACTAAGCTTCAACTTAGTTCCCAACGCCCTCTACAAGCTTTCCCAAAACCTTGAAGTAAACATTGGGTCCCTATCGGACACAACACTAGTGGGCACTCCATGCAGCCTGACTATCTCCCTCACATACAAATCCACCAATCTCTCTAACTTATACTTCATGTTGATCAGGAGAAAGTGTGCAGCCTTGGTCAACCGATCCACAATCACCCAAATAGCATCATGGTTGTTCCTAGTCCTCGGCAAACCCGAAACAAAATCCATGGAAATGTTGTCCCACTTCCACTCAGGGATCTTCAAAGGTTGCAATAGTTTAGATGGATGCTAGTGCTCCACCTTCGCCTTCTGGTAAGTTAGACACCTAGCCACATATTCCGCAATATCTCTCTTCATCGCATTCCACCAAAAGCTTTTTCAGAGGTTCTGGTACATCTTGGTTGCACCAAATGGAAACTCATCCTACTCTTATGCGCCTCCTCAAGTATCATCTATCTCAATTTATCCACTTGGGAAATGCATACCCAATTCCAAAACTTAATCACCCCGTTCTCATCATAGTGGAACTCTGAGTCCTTCCCCTCATTCTTCTGCTTTATCATATCTTGCAAGAAGACATCTCTGCTGAGCATCTCAAATGTACATCAGGAAGTTATTGTGGATGGTCATCACTCTGATATACAAACTCCTCAGCCTTACCTCCATAGCCAGATTTATGTCTCAAAATTCCTCAATCAGCTCCATCTCTTTCACCATCATTGCCGCCACGTGCAATGATTTTCGACTCAAAGTGTTAGCCACCACATTTGCCTTACCAGGATGGTAAGACAATGTAAAATCGTAACCCTTGAGGAATTTCATCCATCTCCCTTGCCGCATATTCAATTCTCTCTTATCAAACAAATATTTTAGACTCTTGTGATCATTGAACATTTCAAACCTTGCCCCATAGAGATAGTGCCTCCATACCTTAAGGGCACAAACCACCACGGCTAACTCTAAATCATGAGTAGGGTAGTTGACTTCATGTGTGCGCAGCTGCCTCGAGACATAGACGACCACTCACCCGTCTTGCATCAAAATGCACCCAAGTCCATGCCTGCACGCATCATAGTATGCATCACACTTCCGCTCTGGGTCAGGCAAAACCAACACAAATGCTAAGATCAACTTTATTTTTAGCTCTAGGAAACTAGCTTCACACCATTTGGTCCATTTAAACTCTTTACCCTTGCAGGTCAACTTCGTCAAGGGCAAGGCTATTTTAGAAAATCAGAAAACTATGGATTTCTGTCACATTCTTTGGCCTCAGCCATCTAGCTACTGCTTCTACCTTTGTAGGATCCACCATGATTCCTTCCTTTGACACTACATACCCCAGAAATTGAATCTGAGATAGCTAAAACTCACACTTAGAGAATTTAGCATACAACTGTCTCTTTCTCAAAATTTGCAAAACAATCCTCCAGTGCTCGACATGCTCCTCTTGAGTCTTTGAATAAATTAGGATGTTATTAATGAACACCACCACAAATTTATCCAAAAATTCATGGAAGATCCGGTTCTTGTAGTCCATGAACACAGCAAGCACATTGGTCACTCCAAATGGCATCACCAAATACTCATAGTGACCATACCGTGTCCTGAATATCATCTTGGGTACATCTTTATCCTTCATCCTGATCTGATGGTACCCTGATCTCAAGTCAATCTTAGAAAACATTGTAGTCCCTCTCAACTGGTCCATCAAATCGTCGATTCTGCGATGTGGATACTTGTTCTTGATCGTCACCTTATTCAACTGTCGGTAATTTACATACATCCTCATACTTCCATCCTTCTTCTTCACCAATAGCATTGGCGCTCCCTATGATGATACACTTGATTGTACAAATCGTTTCTGCAACAAGTCCTCCACTTGCTTCTTGACCTCTGCCAACTCCATTAGTGACATCCTATATGGTGCCACAAAAATTGGGCTTGCTCCCGAAATAAGGTCAATAACGAACTCGATCTCCCTCTCAGGTGACAATTCATAAACATCTTCAGGAAGGATGTCCAAGAAGTCTCTCACCACCGAGATATACTCTGACTCCACCACACTTTCAGCTTCTATTGAAAACATGACCATAAAGGCCTTAACGTTTACCGTGTTCTCCCACGCACCATGACTCAAAAGTCTCAGAATTTTCGTCATTGACGCACCAAAAATCAAAGTCTTTTCTCTGCAATCCAGCAACACATGGTTTGGCAGTAAGGCAATCCATCCCCAAAATCACATCCAATTGGGAGAGAGGCAAACAGATCAAGTCCACCCTAGACACACCCACAATGTCACAACTGGCTTACCCGTAGGGGTAGTCACCACAATATTGCATGGCAATTCTGTTACATACAGACCAAGACTCTTCACATAGTTCACATATACAAAAGAGTGCATAGCAGCTGAGTCAAACAATACATCAAGCAATCTGCCCTTAATAATACATTTACCTTGAATCAGCTCCTCAGATTATGAAGCCTCTGCTCCATTCATGGCAAAGACTCTCCTAGGTATACTCGGCTTCAGCCCCGTGCTCCTTCTTGATTCAGGCCTTTGGGTTGTGCTTGTACTACCACTGCTCTTGGCAGCTCACCACACATTGGCAGTGTGCCCCAACTTCCTACAGTTACTACAATTTATCTTTGATTGTGGGCAGTCTCTCATTATGTGTGGTCCTCTACACCTGAAGCATTGGATCAACCCTCTGAAAAAGCCCAATCCTGAGCCAAAGCCACTACCACTGCTCCTCTCCTGTGATGAAGTCCCTCTAGACTGATACTGACTGGAGCTCGAATACGCCCCCTTTGAGAATCTAAGGGGTCTTCGAGAATCTAGGGGCTCTTTTGTCCTACCTCATTAGACCACTCCCTCTAGTGTCCACAGTCTTCCCCTTTGAATTAGCTTCAAAGATTCTACACTTGCTCACCAGAGTGGGCAAGTTAGTCAGTTGGAACACATTGACTGCAGCTCAGATATCTGGCCTCAGCTCATGCTCAACTGAGCACACAGGTCTTCCTCTCCATCCTCATGCTGATAGTGAAGCCAGTACTTCATCAGCTCTTGGAACTCTGCTGCATAGTCCCCCACTATCATCCTTCCTTGTTTTAGCTCAAGGAACCCTTTGACCTTCTGCTTTTTCTAGTCCTAGGAAAATTAATTCCCAGGAAGCTTGCCTTAAATGTCTCCCAATGAATGTATCTACTCTCTTGTTGCAAAGTCTGATTAGCAAACCTCCACCAGTCCTCTGCCTCCCCACATAGCATATATGTGGCATAGCTCACCTTGTATTCTTCCTTGTGCCCCATAGCATGGATGATCTCCTCCATGTTAGCCAACCACCTCTGGGCTCCTTTGGGATCAAACCCTCCCTCAAACTTAGGAGGATTGTGCCTAGTGAAGGAAAACAACCCTCGGTACTCAGCCAGTTCCGCATCTTGGTTATGCACTAAGGCCTCCAAAACTTAGGTCATTTGCTTTAGGAGGTCATTGGTGATTCTAGCTCCTCTACCTCTACAGGCCATTCTAATCTAAGCTAGCAAACAATGTAACAAACCACACTCGAACACGTTAGATCAATAGCAACATTTATAATTCAGGCAAACAAAACAAATCAACACTCAGCTTGGACGCTTCAGCCCGTTACCCCAGTCCGGTTTGGATGAACTGCTTTGATACAAAAATTGTAACACCTTAAATTATGTTTTTAGAAATAAATAAATTTTACAAAAATAGGAATAATAAACGTTTTTCATTCAAACAAATTCCCAACGCATAAGTTCAATAAACATTTCAAAATAAGGTTGAATTACAATTTGAATCAATAATTGTTATAGGACTTAATTTATACATCAAATTTTCAAAAAAAAAATTCCTAAGTCCTATAGCCGTTTTATCCATCCTTTCACTAAGCTTGGTACTGATTGTCTTAGTCACCTAAAAAATAAATGTAAGAGTGAGTACTCTACACTATCACACAAAACACAAAGACTCACATTGCACATTTCACAAATTTACTGCCACAACTCAGTCATGCATCAAATAGGCACAACACAATAATTTCAATATTCCATTCTCATACACACACACAGGTGCTCTCACTACACCATCAATCATCTCACACGCACAGCACTCACTGCACGTTAGCCACGCTCACTATGACACTGTGATCACAGATTCCTGATGCCCTCAACCTCAAAGAGTTACTCAGTTTTATACCATGGATGGTCGCCGGGTAGCCCCCACCTCACAGATACATGTGCAGTCACGACCCCTTGGCAAAGGTGTTAGTCAGAGGCTGAGTCAGGAGGAGAGCGTGTGGCCTGTGATGCACCTACGCTCACTATCGGTATCACCACTACCCTCTCTTCTCCAATGTATTTCTATCGCCCCCATGTTCCACACCTCCAGTATATCGCTGAACCATTCATAACTTTCCTTTTATTCAAACACAATCACAATCAACCTCAACATGCCATTTCACACACATTCAACCATTTCATATTATGCAACATTATCAATGGCATGTCAACACACACATCCACCCACGTTGGGCTCAATTGTTTCACACATCATACTCAACATCAATTACATCGCATTCCACGTAGAGTTTCCGTCACAATCCAACCATAATCAATCCAAGCATTATCACAATCAAATACACATGCTCATACATTTCATTTCAATCATACGATGAAAGTGCTCCCACATAAACTTTCATCCTCCAAACGCTCCAAACGTGATTTCAACTTTCGATTTAGCTCACAAACAGCTTTAGAGGCAGTTTAATCAGTGAAATAGGGTGATGGTCAGGAGAATCGAAGGGATTTTGAAGAGAGGAAAGGGAAAATGAGTTTTTCAAACTCTAAACCCCTTAAATCCCCTTCTGATCGCAACACTCTCGCTACACAAAGATATTCTCGCTGCAGCAAAAATCTTAGACAATTCTGCACTCTGGTTTTTGCAAAATCTCGTTACAATGAGATTGTATCCAGAAATACACCCTCCACTGTCACCTTCTCGTTGCAGCGAGAATGCGACAATTTCACCCCTCTTCTCTCAGTGCCTTCTTGTTACAGCGAGAATGACACAGTTTCATGCTTTTCGCCTAGGGCCTTCTCGCTATAGCGAGAACACCCTGTAGCACACACTTAGCCCATTTTCAATCCAGCCCAGTCATATCCAATCTCAATGCACAATCAGCATCCACATTTATCACATGTATACACATATATCTACATCATCATATATTTATTCAAACACATGGCAATACACATATACACTTATATTAATATATCAAAATATTATTACAAATTCTGAGACGTTACAATGAGGGTACTTTTGTGTGTTTTCTTCTATGTAAATACATGATTGAATAATATTGAATGGTAGTGAAAGGTTATTGAAGCATATTTAGCTGATTTTGGGTGTTAGAATTATATTCAGTAGTATACATATTTTGAACTTATTCCAAGAGTGCTTTACTAAGCACGATTTTCCACTAGAATGATGAGATTGACACAAAACATAGTATGGGATGAGCATAAAGTACTAAATGGATCTAGTGTGAATAGTTACAGAGATACACTAGGATATAAAGCCTGGAGACGATGAGAAATCTTTGGTGTCTTTAACATAATACACTTAGTGAGCTTGACTAGCTAAAACATATAGCTTTTTGGTCTTTAACATATGGCAAAAATCAACGACTTACTATATATGCGAGTTTTTGTCCATTGGATAGTCTCAAGCAACATGTATGTGAGTGACAACATGGACATGCAAATTTTCCTTTAGTCCTCCATCTTGAGAGGTTTTCATATGCAGGAAAATCATTAATAGTTCACAAAATAGATGCATATAATATAAATATTTCTTTTTTTTTTTATGCATCATATGTCTTTACACCTTTCTCCTATAATTCTTTCAACTCATCAACTAATGGCTACAAATACACATCAACAACATTATGAAATAAGGATATTTCATACTCATCCAAGGTGGTAGATTATAAGGAATTAACAGTACTGGCCACACACTATATGTAGTGCTCATATTTCCATAAGGATTAAAACCATCACTTGCTAGTCCAAGCTTAACATTGCGTGGATCTACTGCAAAAGAACGATATTGCGAGTCAAAACTTTTCCAAGCCAAGGAATTAGCTAGATGTCTCATTTTTCCATTTTCAAACAGTCTTTCTTTATGCCACCTCATTTTTGTAGCAATATTTGAGGACATATATAATCGTTGTAACCTTGGTGCTAAAGCAAAATAATGCAAGACCTTTTGGGATAATTTTTTTTTGGATCTTTATATCGAGGAACACCACAAGTTGGACAAGACGTAGATTTTGAATAATCACCTCGATAAAGTATGCAATCACAAGGATAAGCATATATTTTTGTGTAATCAAGCCCTAGTTAACGAATAATTTTTTGAGCATCAGAATAAGATTCAAAAACTTTATTACCTCGTGGAAATGCCTTTGTCAATAAAGAAAGTAAAGCATCAATTGATTTTTCACTCATACCAAACATATACTTGATGTTTAGTAGTGGTACTATAAATGATAACTTAGAAAAATTATCGCAACCAAGATATAAATCTTTTTTGGCATTCGTTAATAGTTTATAAAAGTTACCAGCTTCTTCATTCATTTGACTGATGTGTGGATTGGCCATATAACTCATTTCCATACTTTCTATGATGCTTTCAGTGTTGATGAAATTTTTTAGATAATGTAACATATCATGAATTCCTTTGTTACAATCTTACTCATCATCATTGTCATTGTCTTCATCAGATTCACTACCCACTTCTCTATAATACTCCCAAAGAATATAATCTCTTTTTATTCCAACTGTGGTCAAGTGCTCATATATGATTTGTCGAGACCAATGAAGATTATTATTGCATTTTTTATATGGATAACAAAGTAACTTTCCTTCTTCAAAACCATTGAATGCGAATTCAAGAAATTCACATACTCCTTATCATATAAAAGATTTGTTCTATCAGTAATTTGCATCCAACTTTTATCTAATCTCATACCTATATACCACAAAAAAATATATGTCAAACAAAATAACAAGTAATCACTCGTTAGAATTAAACTTATTAAATTAAAGAATAGATACTTACAACTAATTAATGTTTTTATCGATTTAGAAGAACTTCAAGCACTATGTAATATAGAGATATGAATTGCAATATTAATTGATCATTTAAATATAAATTAAAGTTTACAATTTTAAAATAATATCATCTAAAATAACAAACTTTTGTTATTAATACTTTTTATTTTAAAAATAATTCAAAAATAAACCATGTTAAGTTTATTATTATATACAGTATCAAAATATTAAGATATATTATTTAAATAAATTATATATAATATATACAGTAGTACGTAATAGCATTATCTAATATATTATAAACAATATAAAAAAAACACGTAATACTGATGAGATATATTACGTAAGACTATATACAAAATGTATAGAATTTACTAATGCATTAGTGTGGTATAATTATCTTATAAAAATAATTTAAAATTGGAGAAAATTCATATAAAAATAAGGAACTCATTTTAGATGCAAAAATTTGTTATCCCACCGTGTAAAAGTTTAAAATTCAGACATAACCTTATTTAATATAACAAATTGATAAAATATTTAATCTATAATTAAATGTTTAATTAATAAAAAAGATGAAAAAGTAACTACCAATGAAATCATGATTCCACTATTTTGCAGAAGAAACTACTATATTAGATAGATAAACTTGTAAGTGAAATAAATCAAGGAGCAAAAATTAAAAAAAAGTTTTCATAAAGAATGTATACCTAAGAAACAAAGAAAAACTTAGCGCTCATATTTCTTCCCGCTTGTTTTTTTACTTTTTTCGCTCTATACTTTTGTCTTTATTTTCACTAACGCAACCAGCCATAATGCGCAGAAAGAGTGAAACCGCTATCCAAATACAATAGGTGTTGGAGCTGTTACAAAGAGCTCCTATAGGTATTGGAAAGATATGTCTTTTCTTCTTTACTTTCTAGGTTCTTGTTTGATTCTGTACTTTGGATCTTCAAGTAAGATTGTCTTGTTTATATCCAAATATACTGTGTCTCATTAGATTCTATTTTTATTTAATAACTTTCGTACATAATTTTATCAAATAATAAAGAAAAGGTTTATACGATTGAAATGGAAAAAGGGAGGAGTAGTTTTTTGGTTGGGGGAAGCAGGGAGAAAAGCTTCGCAAATATATTGTGGAATATTTTCATTCCTTTAGGAAATGTTGCACTTGCTAGTACTTATGCTCAAAT